AGTAGAATAGTGCATGCTTTGTAGCATTTCTTCTTAATTCTGATAAGAACATTACTTGGTTTTATTTCATATTACTGTGTATCTAGGGGCATGCTTGTACTTTTTTCTTTTTTCTTTTTTTTTAGATTCTACAGAGCTGCCTAAGCGCCTTAGCCTGGACAGTTCCTCATCACTAGAGTCACTGGCTTCTGCTCAGTCTATTTCCAACCCTGTACCCCAGTATCAAAACCCACCATTCTCTCCTACTTGTCCAGACAGCATTGCATCAGATGCCATTTCTGTATATAGCCTGAGCTCTATTGCCTCTTCCATGAGTTTTGTTTCCAAGCCAGAGAGCATGCCAGATGGTGTGGGACACAGAGGACGTCAGGACTATGAGAGGCCGAAGAACATCTATCTGCATAGGCCTGCAATACAGAGCCAGTTGTCACCACAAACCAGCACTGTAGCCAGCAAAGATGAGGAAGAGTATGAAGGTTTTTCTATAATCAGCAATGAGCCTTTGGCCAGTTACCAAGAAAACATAAAAACAAGATTTTCCCCAGATAACAAACATCCCCAAACTGGTCAAACTGGAGGTATTAAAGAGCTTGTCAATTCCAAAGGGAGCATAAGTACGCCAAATTCTCCTGTTAAAATGACTCTTATTCCTAGTCCAAACTCACCTTTCCAAAAAGTTGGGAAACTTGCAAGTTCTGATACTGGAGAATCTGACCAGTCTAGTACTGAGACTGACAGCACTGTCAAATCCCAGGAGGACAGTAATCCAAAGCTTGATCCCCAAGAGTTGGCTCAAAAAATCCTGGAGGAAACTCAGAGTCACCTCATTGCTGTTGAACGTCTTCAGAGAAGCAGCAGCCAAATAAATAAGAGCAAAAATTCAGATGATGCAGCTTCTGTGCCAGCGGGTATATCTGCATTCAGATCTTCAGAGACCAGTGCATTCAGTAGGCCAATCAGCTCCAGTCAGAAGAATCAGTCTTCACCTGTTGCAATTAAACCAAAGCCTCCAACGAGGAGTTCATCCCTTCAGAAAGTGAGTTCTGGCTATAATAGCCCCACGACATCGGAGATGTCAAACAAAGAAGGCACAGGCCAATACAGTGGACAGCCATCTCCAAGTTGTGATTTACATGGGTCCTTAACTGAGCAGCCTCACTTTAAGCTCAAGTACCCTAGCTCTCCTTACAGTGCTCATATTTCTAAATCACCCAGAAATCTCTCTCCAAGCTCAGGGCATCAGTCTCCTGGTGGCAGCACCCCATCTCCTGCTCTATCTTATTCCTCAGCTGGTTCTGCTCGTTCAAGTCCAGCTGATGCCCCAGACATAGACAAATTAAAAATGGCTGCCATTGATGAAAAAGTGCAAGCAATTCACAACTTAAAGATGTTCTGGCAGAACACTCCCCAGCACTCCACTGGCCCAATAAAGATTCTCCGAGGAGCTCCTGGCACAATGACTTCTAAGAAAGATGTTCTCAGCTTGCTAAATTTATCTCCACGTCACAGCAAAGAAGAAAGTGCAGATAAGCTGGAGCTGAAGGATCTGTCTATTGAGCAACAACTTGCTTCTCCACAAAAGAACCCTCCAAATGGACACAGACACCCTGAAACTCCAAATGCAGTGACATCAGCTCATTCTCCACCTTCTAGTAGCACTCCAGGAACCGTACTCCCCTTGAGGCTGCCATCTGGGAATGGTTATAAATTCTTATCACCGGGAAGATTTTTTCCTTCCTCCAAATGTTGAAATGTCTTGAGTACCAACTGATGACTTAGAGTCTTGTTAAAGTATTTGCTTCTGCCCACTTGCCTTTATCAATGTAGAACCACAGAATATTATCGAAGAAGCCATGGTCATACCCACAGTTGTAGATACACAGGAACGTGACAGATTGGCCCTGTCTATTACTGTGTAGAAACATGGGTCTTACACAGATGGGTTTCAGTTTCCCTTAACAGGACCTTGGCAAGACTCACTTGATAACAGGTTCTATGTAGTGTTCCATATTTGCTGCAACAGGTCCAACAAATCTTGTTCTGTTCATAAAATACTAGATTTTAAGCCACCTACTTGTATTTCTTATCCTAACAGGAGGTTTTTCAGCTGTCTTTTTATACAAAAATTATACATATCAGGGATTGGAGAGGGAAGTGAGAGGAGTGGTATAAACTTTCATTTATACCGCAAAGAAAGTGTGCACAAGTTTCTGCCTGGAGAAGTACAAGCCGTTTCTTTGTTTGGTTTCAAAGGCTGACAGAGAGGACAAGATAAGACACCTCTAGGTATCTCTGCTAAGTTGTTAGCGAAACACAAGAAATTGCTGGCAATACAACTCCATAGCAGCTTGATACTGGCAGTTCTCTTGCATCATTTAAAGGCTGGTGACACAGACAAGAGGAGAGAGATGCCCCATTCTAAAATCTGCATCTCAGGTAACTTTTTTCTGGAGGGAAACCTTTCAGGTGATTTTTTGCTGGTTGGTCTGCTCCCCAAAAATGTTTTGGGTATAATGGACAAGATGAGCCTCAGAATGAGATAGTAAGGCTGTGCCAGAGACACAAGTTCTGTTTTTATTGAATGTTCCAATCTTTCTGGCACATAGTGTTACAATGGTGAAATTTTCATCCTGGCAATTATTTTGGCAGCATAGTGTCTGCTAAGTGAGCACAGGAAAGTGAATCTTACAGTTTCGCAGTAGGCAGGAATGTAACATAAGTGTGTGTGATTTAGAAATCACCTGTCCAAATAAATCCTTCTCCGATCCTTCTAGATCTTTCCAAATATCTGCAGATGTGTCGATGTGTCCCTGATGAGCTCTTTCTCTGGCTAAGGAAACAAGTTTCTTCAGGAGCACATATACCAGTGTACACAGATGAGATAGGTTAGTGTCAGTGTGCTGTCAGAACATGGACGTGAGGGGACATGCAGACCAGCTGTATGCAGAACCTGTGCACCCTCTGATCTGTGGAGAAAAGAGAACCAAGAGCGCCCCAGAGGTGATGTGTAAAAAACACTAAGCTTTCCTAGGCTAGATGGTGTTTAGGTGTTGTGGATCAAGTTGGAGATGGTTATTTTTTAAGTGGCCATTAAATGCAGTGATGTAATCAGAATCAAAATGATAATTTATGTGCACTGAAAACTCTGGATATTAACTTAGCACACTTAGATCCAAGCAAAGTGTTTCACAGGCCATGTGCTATGAAGTCGGAGCACTGGATTACCAAGGCTTTTGGTTTCTATTATGCACTCCCAAAATCTGTCAAGTGACTGAAGGCTAATCACTTCACCTCTCTGTGCCTCGTCTTCCCTGTCTATCTAAGTGGGGATAGTAATACTTACGTACCTACCTCACAGAGGTGTTGTGAGGCTTATTAATTAGGCCCTGACTTTTACATGGATCTTAAGTCAAATTCCAGTCTTGCAACTGACTACCTGAATGGTGAGTGCAGTCAGATCTCTAAATTTATTAGAGTATCGTTGCTGATGCAGATAATTGTTGCACTTGTCATGTCTGGATGCTCTTCTTGAAAATGTGGACCTGAACATTTGTGATTTTTAGGGGGATCTTGCAGGAAAAGCATGATAGCAGGACAGAGGATTCAATTCTGATACTGTAATATAAAATTACTTAGGTTCAGCTTACTTGTGGTGCACATATGAAACGCTTGCTTAGAGTATATTCTAGAATCCACTGACGTTGGGAGAATGCTTTCACTATCACAAGAAATAAACACAAGTGCTAAAGGCAAAGAACATAGGACTGTGTTGTTATAGTCAGCTAATAATGGATGGTTGATCACAAAAGTTTCAGTGCAGAAAGAAAGAGTAGTTACTTATTCATATTATGCAATGTAGCAAAGCAGTTGAGTAAACCCATTCAACTCATACAATCCAAGTTATTTGTCTATATATTACATCTTTCTGAGATGGTTTGGTGCTAGATATCTTCTCGCCATTAGGTGGGAAAAATTAGAATAGTGGGCCCAAATGAGTCAGCACAGGATCTGCATGTCATATAGATGGCAATGTTGCTGATCATGCAGCTTGCTGTGGTCACAAGACTGCTGACAGACTCCGTGTGACCTACTCTGTTTCCAACCAGCATAACTTTTAGAACGACATCCCAGGAACATCCAGGATGGAAGTGGGCAGCTTCTTGTTTATAGCAACAGCAAATATTCCCTGTAGTGCTGCAAAACATGCCGGAAATAAGCCTCTTGTAGTTTACTTCCATAACTAAAGGATCTTTACTCTGTAGAAATTCTATACTGCCATTTTGGTACAAACCATTTTCATCCTGCCGGTAGGTTTCATACTGGCTCTAAGTTTTCAGAAAGAGATAAATCAGGGGTGGGGGGTGGTTCTTCTGTTGTGTTGTTGTTTTTTTTTAAGGGGAGGGGAGTATTAGAAGTGGGGAAAGGTTCAGATGTTCAGTATTTGGGAAATTGGTGTTGTATAAATATGGAAGGTGAATGTCACTAGAACAAGTCTTTTGAGAAATTTATTTCCATTAGCTTGACAGAGGACACTTCCATTGGCTTAATGAGAGCCATGAAAATGCATGCTTGCTTGTCTGGGAGACACTTCACACACCTTGTGCCTCACTCCTCCACCACCTGAATGAGAAACAACCCCTTTGTGAGGAAAAGAAATTTTATCAGGTTTGCCCAATATGTGGAGAAATTCAGGAAATAACATGTTCTGCATTTGATATTAGAATCCCTTCTGTGGAGTTTAAATGCATTTGTTGTTGTTGTATTTGTGCATGGTACAAGTGACAACACTGCTTAATACAGTGAGCAATAAGAATTAGGTGTTATCAACTTCCACATTAAACCTGCCACGTGCAACAGTTCCCCAAGGCCATAGAATGTGTTTTAGTTTGGTTTTATTCAGTATATTTTACTGTGTGAGATACTAATTGCAGCTATTTTATTGACTGTCTTTAGCTTAAACTAAAGGGGAACAGTAAATAATCTCACTGAACAAAATCCAGTTTAATTTGATTTTGTTGGTTAGCCTGAACTCTGACTGGTTACTGATTTTCCTTCTTTTTCATGATACCTTATTTAAACAAGGAAAAAGCATTGAAGGGGTGCTACACCCATGTATATCACTCTTGGCCATATTTCCTCTCATTAGATCAAACTGGTTCTGTGACCATCTCTTCCAAGTTGCAGAACAGGAGGACAGAAAATCTGTGAATCTGCAAAGAAACACTGGTAGTTTCAGGCTAGGTGATGATAATGGTTTGGATTTATTGCATTGCCATGCAGACCAGAAAAGTTGTGAATGAACATGGAAAACTTGGCCCCTTGGTTGCAGAACTCCTTCAAAGAGCGTTGAAGATGATAACTCAGAAAGGATTGTCAGCAAAGACTCTTCCAAGCAGCAGCCCTTTAGCACTTGCTCTCCTTGTATGCAGTGTTAGCCATGTTTGGCCTATATGGACTTTTTTTGTAAATTAAAACTGTTTCCAGACAGCATTAAACTTTTTATATTATGAAATTTACCATGTAAAAAGATTTTCATATTTTTATTGAAATTGCTAAGGCATTTGGCCTTCTTCCTTTGTGATTTCAGTGTCTATTAAAGCATGAGTTCTCTCAGTACTCCAGTCTCTTGTTCTAGGGTGACATTGTTAACAAATTTGTTAGCACACTGCTCTCTGTCCTGGCAGGTGGCTTGGAATTTTGAAGTGTGACTAATGGGGTGACAGCTGTCGTCAACGTCTCCTGTGGAAATGAGGGGTCACTGAGAACTTGATGTATTTTTTATCAGGATGTAGCTCTACTGCTACAAATGATGACTCGAAGTTGCTTTTCCTGGTAGGCGGTGAAACCAGCATTTGCTCACTGTCTTTCTTGTTTTAGTCAGCAGCAAAACGACATGTAGGCTTGGAAGGAACGTCATGGACCACCTATTTCCACCCCTGCACAGTGGAAGGACCAAGTGCTGAAGGTATGATACATTTTCCCCACACCCTTTGCCATTTGAAACTTGCTTACTTAAGTTTTCCCTCTGCTCTTGTGTTAAAGATGCCATTGTCCTTAAAGGAGGTGTTGGTGACCAGATGAAACTAATCAGAATTTGACTTTTGTATGGTCTCTGGAATTTTCATTGATGCCTCCCTCCCAGTTGTGTTAACACTACCTCTAGCCCTGTTGATAGAAGACACAAACCATGTCCTAGGTCATGAAACAGCAGGCTGCTACTGGCCTACAGTCTCTACCCTCCAAGTCTTTAATCTGCTGAAAACGAGGGAACCTAAACCACACAAATCACTGCAGTCTTCCTGGCACTAGTTTTTTTGAAAGGGACTGATCCTGGCATGCTTCTGAAGTGTAGCTGATTCTCTGTACTTGAAGACACAGATGGTGCAGCTCCCCAGCAAGGGTTTTATAGATGGCTGCCTCAGCTTGGTCATGCTCTTAGGACTACCTACAACCTGGTGACACGTCCTATTGTTGTTACTAAGATTCTGCCGTTTTATCACAGAGATTCAAGAAAGTCCTGTTCCCTTCAGAGACATACTTCTAGAACAGCAAGTGTTGGAAGAAGTCAGCTCAGAACTGCAAAAAACAGAAGGAAGTTGTCTAAAGCTTGACCTTGAATGTTTTTGTATCTAGTACTTAGTATGCTAATATGTGTCAGGGACAGGTTGGAACATTCTTTGAGTGTCCAGATGCACACATACTGTGGGTTGATGTACACTACCAGCAGCACATACCTGCATGTGCCCTTCCCTCGCCCTTCTGCCAGATGCGTGAAGCACAGCGCACAGTTCTGTTCCTGCCAGCTCCCAGCTGGAAGCAGCATTTGCTTCTCCCTAAGAATGGTCAGGGAGACTTGCAAACACCCCATTCCATCCCATATCTCATTCCATCATATAATTTATCCCACATGACCTCATTTTCTCATTATTTATGTACTCTCCAAAGAGAAGAACTTTTTTTTTTAAATCCCTGTCAGAAAGAGTACTGTCCATCTTCTCTTACATGGTGACATCAACTGTGTGGGATCTTATTGGTAAATTACTGTGCCTGGTACTTCACTGGCTTCTGAGAAAGCTCTTCTACAGGGAACTGCAGCAAATGCTGCTTGTACAACAAGAAGCATGCAGGAGATTGTGCTGTCCCTGTAAAGGGTCTCCCACATCTTCCTCTGAGAATCTCTTGGAGAGGGGCATCGGTTTGCTGCCAGCCACTACAAAACAATCCGAGAGGTCGCCATCACAAACATCTTTTCTTCTCTTGGTTAGTCCTCAGACTTCCAGTGCTTTGTGGCTGTAAGAGAGCAGATGATAACATGTGCATTGCTATTCCAACATGTGACCAGGACAGGAGGATATTCCCTAAAAGATACTTCAGGGTGCAAATGGAAAAAGTCAAACTCAGGGTTAGGCACATGGGTACCCACACTGTACCTGAGATTGCAGGTTAGATAGGAGGACTCCAGTGACATTTACGTCAGAATTAGGGTATACTTACCTCACCTACACTGTTCCCAAGTCCCAAATCTATAACCTGGGTGCTGAAGTGCAGAGCTTTGATCTTTTGGCATAGAAGAGCATGTTTAGGTATTAAAAGCAATAACAAAAAAACATGTTCTCATTCGCTGTTCATTGAATGAAAGTATGATTGCTGCTATTACAAACCCCTGTTCTATCACACCAGGGTCCTGGGAGCTCAATGGAAGGGAGGAGTTCTGGTTCAGTGAGATAGTTTGCATCCCCTGCATTGGCATCCCAGCCCTGCAGCTTCTGTCTTTTACCCTTCCAGACAGATGCTGTTAGTTGTCCTGTTCTGCGATCGGTGGAAAGCTGTTAGAGCGAGAGCAAAGCCTGCCCTGCAGCACAGTACCAGAGGCTGTGAGAGGGTCACAGGCACTTCAGAAGCAGGCTTGTTCCTAAGGTACGAGCCTTGTGTGGCACCGTGTCTGCCGTGGGACCTAACCTGATGTCTCGCCTGATGTCTTCCAGCTCCTGTACACAGAGGTGAAGTTGGGAATAACGCAGGCCGGCCTGTTGACCCAACTCCTAGTGTGGTGGGCACTGGCCAAGCATGCTGCTTCAGCAGGTCCTGTTACAGACCTCCTGCCACCATGCTCTTACATTTCAATGTCGCCATCCCACTTCACATACATGCAAACCTGTGTTTAGGCAGCGGGACTCCAGTCGGTCGGCAAGCTCGATCTAACAAAAGCCAGGAGCTGCTGATGTGCTACTGCACTGTCTGTATTTGATACCTATGCAGCTATGCAGGGTGAACATAGGCCAGAGGGCTCCCATGAAGAACAGCTTGCTGAGGAAGCATCCTGTCCAGCAGCAGAGACCGTGGTGAAATTGTATATATGGGTCTGAAGTGGTTTGTCTGTATGCAGTGTCTGGAATCAGCAGGATGTAGCTACTCAGATGATGCTGTCGTGTGTGGTATGATCTGGGTATAAACAAAGAGAATAAGGGTTTTGGAGGGAGCACACTTTGCAGCTGGCTGAGTAAACAAAAGACAAATGTTGTCCATATGGGGAAAGAGCAGCAGCAGGGGACTACATTGAGCCAGGATTTTGAAAAAAACAAATAAAGGAAAGTTCAGAATGCTTGAGAACTTTGGGAAGCAGACTCTTAAAGCCCCACCGTGTCCTGGCACAGCCCTTTTGTAATTTCTTTGCTTAATAAAACAAAGCCGGTACAGGCAAAAGTCTGAGTGGCAGTTTCCATAGCATCCATCTTTCACATTGCAAGGGATTTGAATGAAAGTATGTTTTTATAGGCAGAGCATATTGAAGATTTTCTTTAAAGCCATTTAATTGTGGGAGGGTTGTCTGGCAACATTGAATTTCCCTATCTGAATTTCTGCTCTCTTCTACTCTGTTGGAGATGATGTGTAAACGCATCATTAGTTCTAGTTACTGATGAACAAAACTTGGGAAAGATGGCTTCAGAGGGTGGACAAAGGTGAGCCCACAAGTAGGGTCTGTGGCCCTTTTTGGGGAAAAGGATGAAATGCATACATGTGGGGACACGGACACTGTGCTGGGACAGATGCTGGAGTGGGAGTCCACTGAGTGCAAAAACATACTGTTGCTACCATAAATTAAAACTGTACATTTAAGTTTCCTGTGGGTTGAAAGCTGACAGAAATGTCCATTTGAAATAGCGCTTTATTTTGTCAGCAATAGGGCAGCATTATTCACAGTACCACAGCCAGATATATCTACATTTTTTGAGGAAGAATCATTTCCTTTCCAGAGTGCTAAACTATAAAGTTTTGCCCTCCCTTTGTCAGATCTTGAAGTGTTTAATTTTGCTTTTCTTTCTGATTTACCTACTCTTTTCTGTGGGCATCTCACACAGTGTTGAAGGGGAAGGAGCTCGTTAGCACAGCTGTGAAGAAAAATCTGAAAAATTTTAAAGCTAACGCTTGGAAACTGAAAAGCAAATTAAGACATTCAGAATGCATTATTTTCAACAAATACTGAGTTTTTATTGAAATCATGTTTTTGAACACCCAGAAACAGTGCTAGCCTTCACTTTCCTGTTTCATTTTCAGTGCTCCTTCATTTTCCTGTTTTGTCTCCAGCATTCAGCACTGCACATCTCTGTAGTACCTGAGAGCCTCCTACAGAAAGATTTGTTATTAGAGAAATCCCTACACGGACTCATGGAAGCTCTGTGCGTTCCCCTTTTTGGATTAAAAACCTAAAGCTTTTGACTCTGAAAGCTTGCTTTTTTTTTTTTTTTTCTTCCTGTTTTTCCCATTTTTCTGTTGTCCCCACTTTGCCATGTGTTACATTAAAAGAAAGGTGTTGGAAGAAGGGGCAGCTGGAGCGCAGCTGCAGTCCCAGCAGTGTTCGTGTGGCCGCGGTGCCCTCCCCTCCCTCCCGTCCCGTCCCGTCCACCCGCGGCGCTCCCGGCTCCTTGCAGCCCGTCCCGCCGGGCGCTCACCGCCAGGGTCACCGCGACCTCCCTGCCCCGAGCCTTCCGGGCCTCCTCCTGCTCTTGCTGCTCACGGAGGACGCGGGGGAGCCGCCACCGGCGGGGCGGGCGGGTGTGAGCCCAGCGCCGGGCCCGCCCGCCCCGCCCGCGCCCGTCGCCCCGAGCCCCTCCCGCCGCCGTTACCGAAAACGCGACCGAGGACACCGGGAACTTGCACCACGGGGGCGGCGGCTCCCGGCGCGAACCCCCCGGGGACGCCGCCCCCGCCCCCGCCAGCGCTTCAGGGCCCGTTCTGCTCCCGGGGGCAGCGCCGCCAGCCCCCGCCCCTCCCTGCCCGGCCCCGGGGCCCGCGGCTGCTCCTGAGGGAGGGGCTCGGGGGGCGGGCCCGGGGCGGGCGCCGCGCCGCCATTGGCTGCCCCCGGGCGAGGCGCGGGCGCTGCCGGGAGCCGCGCGCCTTCGGATTGGCGGCGGCGGGCGCGTGCGCGCGGGGATCTCGCCGGGGCGAAGGGCGGGTGCGGCGCCCCAGGGCGCGGCGGGATTGGGCGGGCCGGCCCGCGGGGGCGGGGCTTCCCCCCGGAAGCGCGCGGTGCAGCATGGGCGGGCCGTGCCGGTCGCGCGTGCGCGGTGCGGGCCTGCGCGGGGAAGATGGTGCTGATCAAGGAGTTGTGAGTGCGGACGGGACGGGACGGGGCGGGCGGGGCCTGGGGGGCGCCTTCCGCGCGTCTCGCGGCCGGGGCTGGGCCGGGGGCGCCGCCGGCCGGGGCGAGGCCCGCCCGAGCTCGAGCCCTGCGGGGGCTCCCTCGGCCCCGCCGCGCCGGAAGCGCCCGTCCTGCCGCCGGGCCCAGCGCGGGGCCGCCTCGGCCGCTCCCTGTGCGGCGGGGCCGGGCCGGGCCTCCCCGCCTCGAGGCTCCCGGGGCGCTGCCGGCGGAGCGGGGCCCGCTCGGTGCCCGGCCGTGCACCCGGCGGCCCCGCGGGCAGGCTCGTCCCGCCGGCCGCGTCCGCAGCGTCCCGGGCCGGGCTCCCGGCACTCGGGCGTTGCGGCGCTGCCGGTGCTGGCGGACCCCGTCCCGCCCGAGGGCGTCGTTGTGGCAGCTCCCGGCCGTCCCGGCTGGGGGGGCCGAGCTCTGCCTTCAGAGCTGAAACTCGCCGGTGTCCGAGGCGGGCCGTGCCTTTGAGCCCGGCTGGGTTCCCCCTCGGCTTTTCTTTGGAGATTTCCCAGCTCAAAGTGAAAGCTTTTCAGCAAGACGCACGTTTAGCCTGAGCCCCGAAAGTCTTCATCCACTAAGAGCTAAGGAAACAGTTGTGTGGAAACCGCACCTTCCGCTGTGCTGGGGATAGAAAAAGTTGAATGAAATAACTACAACTCTTAAAACTTTTTTTTTTTTTCCTTCTAGAGCAGCGGGCAGGGTACATTTGTATACGTTGCATCAAAGTTTAACGGTCGCTCGGTTTGTCGCTAAAGCAGATAGCATCGCTTAAAAGCCCTGGCATCCAGGCAGCTGTTGTACGATGCTGTTTTGTAACTATAAAAATTTGCATCATCTTTGTTTTGTTATGTATGGTGAAACTGCAAAGCATTGTCTGTACAGCATGCCATTGCTGTCAGAAATCAATTTCTGCAGCCCCTCCTGTTGCCATTAGCTGTAGAGTTCATTGCATTAGAACTAAATTGCCTAAAACACACCTGCTTTTGGCACATAAATGAGATGTGAGCTGCGGTTGCTTTTGAATGATTCATAACTGCTGTAATTGCCAAAATTCATCTGTGGGCTTTGAGGGCCTGTCCATTTGTTCTCCTTTTAAATTGTGCAGGCAGGGCAGTTTGTTGTGAAACATGAAGAGAACTGACACCCCAACGTTCAAATTCAATGCCATGCAAAGTTACAGTAGAGTTGGAAGCAGATCCCAGATTTCCTGTCTCTTCTATGCAGCTTTTAATATTCTCAGCCTGCTGCCCCCCCCCTTCCACCTTTGTAACACACTTGATGTCATTTTGATTTTATTTGGGCTTCCTGCATTATAGCCGTATCATTTGACTGTTGTACAGCGTTTCTGAAAAGAAAACTCAAGTTAACTCATTTTGACGCTTCCTTCTTCAATATATTTATTACAGTGTATGTTTGTTATCTAAAATCTAATTATTCATTCTATTTAATTTTCTCTCTTTTAGCCGAGTGGTTTTACCTTGCTCAGTGCAAGAGGTATGTCCTCATCCTTCCTACCTGTCCTTGTTTTTGGGGGTTGGGTGGGAAGATGTCAGTGTATTGTTTAAATCAGACTAGCCTGGACCCAAGTGTTTCCTGTGCTGTGCGTCCACTGCCCTGGCACGTGTAAGATACTGCATGTGTAAGCCACCAGTTGAGCGGAATTAACTATTGCAGATCAGTGAATTTCAAAGGAGTCAAGAGTCTTTAGGGTTTTATTCTGAGCTTACAAGCAAGAGAAGAAAATTGTGCAACTCTGCACGGCAGCAGAATTTTCCTGTTGATCAAGGCATTCAGTGACTCCAAGCCTTTTCCTAAAGGCAAAGGTAGGAACCATCTTCTGAGATCTGTAGCCAGCAATTTAAGTGACGCTGAAATAGATTTAACTGAAACTCACTCTGAAACGTTTAAACGTATTTCTGAGGGCACAAGGTTGAACTTCCTACAGTTTCCATTTCATGGGACCTGTGGGGCCAGTTATCTAGTTGGTTAAAAGTATGAAGGTTGGTGCTGTAAATCAATCACTGCAAAACCTTGTAAACTGAAAAATTATATTTTGTCAAATTAAACAGAACTTACATACTTTGCTTTTACCGTGAGAAAAATGAAGAATAACAGATTTGGTGCTCTACACCAACACACTATGTTAGTGTGAAACAAGCTGTGTAAAAACGCGGTACTCGTAAACCACAGATAAGCTAAGACAAAGCCGGTAAAACTTAACTAAAAACTTTTTTTATTTATTTTTCTTTCCAGTCATTTGGCTTATACTATCTAATTCTCTATGCTTTGAATATTTTTTCTTACTTATATATTGAAATTTTGCTTCTCTTCACTTTTCAGTATCAAGTTGGTCAACTCTATTCTGTGGCAGAAGCTAGCAAAAATGAAACAGGAGGTGGTGAAGGAATTCAAGTCTTAAAAAATGAGCCTTACGAAAAGGATGGTGAAAAGGGACAATATACCCACAAAATCTATCACTTAAAGAGGTGAGAAAAACAAACGTATATTGGTCAGGAGGTTAGACTAAATGATCTTTGAATGTCCCTTCCAACTGAGCTATTCTATTCTGTTATGGTCACTTGGTGTTGATCCACAAGTGTTTAACCAGCTATTGCTTACTATTCTGGGGCACCTGCATTTTTTTTTACCACCCTTAAATTTGCTGAAATTGCATGAATGCTCTGGCAAAGAGTAATGGAAAACCATGCAAAATGTCTGATCCGTGAATAGGCAAAAGCGTCTCCAAGTACCAGTGTTCTGAATTCTTAGCACATAGCCAAAATGATGATAGGTTTGTGTCACGGATACTTTGTAGGATAGCCCAAAGGACAGGAATGTTGATATAGGGTAGAGAAAAGGAGATGGGTTATTTTTTATACATATATATATATATATATATACACACACACATATATATATATATTTTATATATGTGTGTATATATATATTTATATATAGCTAATGGCTATGTGCTGGGGAGGCAGAAGGATGATGTGGGAAATAAATGCTGAACAGTAGTACTGCTCAAAAGCATATGCAAGTTATAGTGTGTCAGCAATGTGAGATTAAACATGAAAGCAAGCTCCCTTCAGGACTGTGTTATGCAGGATTGTTGCATGTAATGTATGGGTGGTAACTTTTTGGTTGGCTTTGTGCACTGGACTTTCAGATGTACACAAATTAGAGAGAAAATAGAGTATAGAAAGAAGTGTGGGCAGTATGATGTGTAGGAAAGAACTGAAAGAATTGTTTGCTTATCCTAGAAAAGGAAAACTTCCAGATGAGTGGGACATAAGGTCCTGCTATATAAAAAGGAATTATCAGTTGGCAGTTTTTTGCCTTGAATCTGAAAGAAGAAGAAAAAAAAAGGACAGGAACTTACTCATCATTTTGGGGGGAAATTGAGGAAAGAAAACTTGCATGGAGTGAACTCTATCCATTCCTTATCCACATGAATACATGTAGTTTGTTTAAACTCACATGCTTCAGGGTACCAGCCTCAAATAACCCTGATAGGAAATACAAAATTTACCTTGTATGGAATTTTGTGTTGTTTTTTTCTCCAAACTTCCAATTTTTGTCAACTGTCACGGGCACAGTATAGACTAGAAGAGACATTTGTCAGAGGTAGTAATTCTGCTGTTGATGGCAAGCTTAAGTTTTCCTCTTCAAGCATGGCTGAAAGCTGACTGGCCTTCCATCTAGACTACAGGCCAACTGAGTTAGAGGCTTGCTTATTGCTGACTTCCACTTTTGCTAGAGTTTGGAGGTGAGGTCCCTTGGGCGGTGTTGTCCCTCAGTGGTTGTCTCCACTATACTTGATGAGAAAAGAAAGCTTTTGTAGCACAACTTTCATTTTGATCAGTACATCCGAAATTATGTATAGCTCACTGTTGATTATCTTTTGATTACCTTTACCAATTTCTCTTAATTATTTTATGATCAGTAACATTGTTTGAGTTCCAGCATATTAGACTGTGGGTAACTTCTACATCATACCCTTCAAAATGCTAAGGTAGAACGTGCCTTTCTTTTCAGAGCGGCAGAAATCGGTGGGATGCTACAGTTGGCAAACATTTTTTTTTAAATGTTGCTAATATTTGTTTTTCACAGTAAAGTTCCTGGTTTTGTAAGGATGATTGCTCCAGAAGGCTCCCTGGTATTCCATGAGAAGGCTTGGAATGCATACCCTTACTGTAGAACAAGTAGGTCCCACATTGTATGTCTGATGTTGTCAGTGTTCAGGGATGGTCTTAAATGGTTTTGGCGAAGAGTTGCTGCTATCAAGTAGAAAATATTTTTCACGTTTTGTTGATTTTGTGAGATCTCATGTTCTGAAAAGGAGATCTGCTTCTGAAAAACAACCTCAGTGAATCAGTTCACTGGTTCCTACCTAGTCTTTTTATGCAGTGTCCCTAGTACAAGACTGAAGAGCTGCCTCTTTCTTCAAATGTAGAACAGAGCCAGTTAGAAAAGTATTTAATTCTTTATAGTCTGTAAGAATAAGATGACTGTTTTATTTCAATACTTGTAATTGTGTAAGATCTAAGAGTAAGCTCTGTTTTGTTTTTATTGAATAGTTTGTAGTATTATATAATGAACTTAAGTCTAGTAAGTTGTGTTCTGCTGACCGAATGTGTACAAATCCTATTTGAAGGATTTTGAATGTTTCTTGTTCTGTGATTTAGTAATTGCATGTGAGACTGTTCAGAAACTATTGTATCTAATAACATTTTTGTTTCCTTTTCAATTTCATTCCCTGTGTTTCCAATGACCAGTTGTGACAGTGAGTATTTTAGTTACTATCAGTCTTCTAACATTTGTTGTTTGTTTGTTTGTTTGTTTTTAATACATTGTATGTTATTGCTGCTAGAATTGACTCTGGCAAGCTAGCTTCAGCCATTTATATTTGCCTTGCCAGGGTGTCTGGCATAAAGCAACTTGTTACTCTACATGTCTGCTACTTGGCTATAAGTTGAACTGTAATTTATCAGAGAAATTCTTTCATTTTTTACATCGTTTTGTATCTTTGCTTAGTATTATAGCTCTGTAAGTATAATTTTGTATTTATATAAAAAATTGTCTGTACTGTCCATCTAGATGTTAAGCTGACTGGGCATAATCAGACTCATGCTTTTTGATTTTAATTCTTACAGAATGAATACATGAAAGATGACTTCTTCATAAAAATTGAGACCTGGCATAAACCGGATTTGGGGACATTGGAGAACGTGAGTTGGGATTTGGATACATAGCTTTAGTAATATTTGCCACACATAGTCATCCAGATAAAGTATACTATTTCTGGTAATGGCAGGTAATTCTCAGAAAAAGTCAAAGCCCTACCTGTTACTAATATAAAACAAGAAAAGTATTCACGTCCCTCTAAAGTGGTCAAAGCTGTTTCACCTAAAGTGGTACAAGAACAAGAAAAGGTTTTCATTTTATTATGTTGAGGTCAATGCAGATGGTTTATTCCTACCCGGATACTTTAAAAGGTTTTCAGTAAGTGGAGATTTTTAATTTCACATTATTCTACTTTAGATAAGCTAGTGCTACGTTAGCAATTTTATCTGAGACCAGCTTTGTCAAGGACACATTATAGTTCATACATTTTTTTTTAGGGTTATTTTTCTGAGGCAGCTTCTGTAAATTTTGCAGGCTTGGTGGTAGTCTCATTTTCCTCCCTGGTTCATTGAGTTCTCTTTATGTACAGTGAAAAGCCTATTTACAGAGCATCCACAAAGGAATAATTGTCAGTATATTTTCAGTGCTGGGATGAATTGCTTCAACCCTAAAGAAAGGATCATAGAATCATAAAGGTCGGAAAAGCCCTCCAAAATCACCTGGTCCAACCATCCCCCTACCACCCATATAACCCACTAAACCATGTCCCTAAGTGTTGCGTCCAACTGTTCCTTAACACCCCCAGGGATGGTGACTCCACCACCTCCTTGGGCAACCCATTCCAATGCCTGACTATTCTTTCTGGGAAGAGATTTCTTCTAATTTCCAACCTAAAACTCTCCTGGCGCAACTTGAGGCCATTCCCTCTAGTCCTGTCACTAGTTACCTGCGAGAAGAGGCCAACCCCCAGTTCCCCACAACTTCCTTTCAGGTAGTTGTAGAGAGCAACAAGGACTTCCCTAAGCATCCTCTTCAGACTAAACAACCCCGGTACTATGTGGATATGCTACAGAGAAGGAGAGCATTTCTTATGCAGCTTTACTTGCTTTAATTTTAAGCGTAGTTACGCCTAACAGACTACACGTGTGTGGTGGTTTTGCCTTGCTAGGCAGCTGAACTCCACCACAAATGTGCTCTCACTTCCTCTCCTCAGAAGAGGAGGGGAATAAGAAAAGGAAAAAAAGACTCACGGGTTGAGATAAGGATAATTTAATTAAAGGAAAAAATAATTATTAAGGGAAAATTATTATTAATTAAATAGATTAACTAAAGGGAAGAGGAAAAGGGGAGGGGGGAACAAGCAAAGGCTGTGTGGAAGAGCAGAGGAAGGAAATTACTCTCTACTTCCCACCAAGAAGTGATGCTTGACCATGTCCTTGAAGCAGGGCTTCAACGCATGGAGGTGTTCGGAAGGACAGACGTTTTCACATGAGCCCACCCCTCCCCTCTTCCTTTTTCCACCTTTTATTGCTGAGTGTGACATCACATGGCATGGTTGGTTTAGGTCAGCTGCCCTGGTGATGTTCCTTTCTCACTTTTTGCCCGCCCCCAGCCTGCTGGCTCTGGGGGGGTTGGAGGGAGTCCTGATGCAGTGCCAGCACTGCTCAGCAGCAGACACAACCCTGGTGTGATACCAGGGCTGTTCTAGCTCCAAGTACAGAGCACGGCACTGTGTGGGCTGCTGCAAGGAAAGTTAAGATCCCAGCCAGACCCAGTACAACATGTGAAGTTAGTTACATCTTTAAACCTTTATGTACCTTCATACCAGATGCATTTCATCTGGTGTGTACTAAAGGCAGGCCTATTATTTAGGGAACTTGCTAGATTTAGTCAGGTTATTGAAACCTTCCATGTTTGCACATTAGAACTTGTGAAAGCTTCTTTCTAAATGAAAAAGCTTGTCCAGATTACTGAATGGGTAATGTTTCTAATTAGAGCTTGATTTCGTTAGCTCTTAAATCTAGGTCTCCTGAATGCATGGGAACTGAAGGCTTTGTGCTGGTTTAAAATTAGTGACTAAATTTAACTCTGGAAAATAATTCCTTTTTAGAAAAGCAGAGGGAGAAAGGGTAAGTTTTGAGAAGAAGTCTGTCTCTAGGAAGTCCAGAAAACAATCATACGTAGTGCATGCATACACATTGTGTGAGACAGACCGCTTTGTTAGGTGACAACATGAAAATCGTTCATTTTTCTCCGTTGCAGGTGCACAATTTAGATCCAAACACATGGAAGAGTGTTGAAGTTGTCCATATTGACATTGCAGATAGAACTCAAGTAGAACCAGGAGTAAGTAAATGCTTTCATGTTGGGATATGGTTGCAACATGCTTCTAATCCCACCGATGCTTTCTGTTGGTTGTGAATAATCTAGAAGTGGTATCGATTTTATCTGACAGATAAATGAAAATTGACTTGAATTGAATAATTCATTCCTGAGTTCCACACTTAGCAAATGTGTTTACAATTTTAATTACTGAGTTTGACTTTTAGTTGCACAAGTAAAACATGAAAGGCAACAGACTTTTGGCACAGGTGTAGTTTTTACTGGTAGATAAACTAATTAATCATGCAAGCATGTATGTGCCCATCTTGGTTTGTGAAGCCACGAGCAAGAATCTACCCCATGTGTCCTGCATGACAGAGCATGGTATATCCATCAAGCTGCTCTCGTGCTTCTGCTGCTACTTTTGGTTAGAATTTCTTTAAGCGTCCCTCCACCCATCCTTCCAGCTGGGGTTCAGGCAATCTCAAGAGGAACCGTCGGGGTTTGCCATTGAAAGCTAGACTGACTTTTTTTTTATTTTTAAACTTCATTCATTAGAACAGTTCTGAATAAATGAACTGCTTATTTCTTCTGAGAGCTGTGGAATTACTCGTTCATTTTCCTTTTAGTGATTGCTTTGGTGAGCATAAGCACCCTGGATATACCCAGAAGTCTGTCCTTAGGAGTCTGTGGTTCTTTATCTGAGAATATGAAGTTTAATACCTTGATACAAGAAGGAAAAATTTAGGAGAGATCTTATCAGTAAGAGCACATGGTTACTCAGAGAAGTTGTATGCAGAGCAAAGGTAGTGTGTGGTGTTCTGTGTAAGATTGCTTATGTGTGTGGTGGAAGTAGGCTGCTAGATGAAGAAGAGAGTGTGACAAAGTTTAGTGTTGGGAATGCATGCTTTCAACTTGTCTTTTCAATTTGAATTTGTACAGAAAAGATGTGTGCTCTAAATCTACTTTTATCAAATTCTGCTGAAATAAATACACAAAGAGATGTGTAGTTCAGCTTTATCTGGTTTGTTGAGATTTTGCTGACAGGACAACACTTAATGTTTGTAATAGTTCCCATTCTGTTCCCCTCTATTGTCAGCTTTCAGTTAAGTACCTCAAAGTGTATATAATTGATCTGAATAAGAAGGTAGGATATGTTGGTTTATGCAACTTTAGAGGGTAGTTTCGCTACACTTAAGTGCTTGTCCTACTTCCTTGCTCTTACTGTGGTTGCTTTTTATGCTTTTTTTTTTCCTACTGGAATTGCGTGGTTTAATTCTAACAGTTGGGCTGTTCTATGTCTAATCATTTATTTCTGAAGAGTAGGAAAATGGTATGGTCTAACACCGACACTTACCCGTATGTGTTTGTGATAACTTGTAGCCATTCTTGAAACTATTTAATTGTTATTTTCTAAAAATAAATATGTGGATATCCAACATTGTGGGGAGCAGTCTCCATTGCAGGAAAGTGAAGGAAGGAGGGAAAAGGCTATGGTATGTGAAGTGGAAAGGATTCTGCTTCATAAATTGCTATTTCTATCACCAACATAAGTGTATAACCTGCACTGTTGCTTAACTGATCTTTAACAGATGATCTGTGGATTTACATGTATGAAAATACATTGTTTGGAGAACCTCCCTGTAAATCAAATTAAATGTGTCTTGCCTATTTTAATGCAGCGAGGAATCGTTTTGCTGCCCCTTGTTCTTTCAGACATTCCATATGACCTTAGAGCTGAACTGGCAGGTAAATGTATGTTGTGCATTCCCTATTCCGTGCCTGGAATTGTGGCAAACAACTACAATGCTGTCATCTGTCAGAATGCTTGCTCGATCGCAGTATGTGTAAATAAAGGGTTGTGCTTATTACTAATGGTTGTTGAACTTAAATATCTGTTCTGTTTGAAGTACTCTTAGTGAACAGCACTGCTTGTGCTACGTGCCCTCTTGCACTGTTAGATGACATGGTCTGCCTTTAATGTTGCGTTTCCTTTGTACTGAAGACTGACAGATGGTGGTATGCTAAAAGAAGCTATGTTTTTGGCTTAGGACAAAGATCCATCTAACCCAGTATCCTGTTGGTGGCCAGTAGCAGATACTTTGTGGAAGGATAAGAAACTTGGGAAGCAATAGAACATGAGAAGCTGAGAGGTTGTTTTCTGTTTTTAAAGGACTTCCAGACCCAGTGGTTGCATCTGCCCTGTTAATTAGCCACTTACATTCCCATGAGCGCATCTAATCCATTTTTGAAAACATTTATACTTATGACCTTTTTGGCATCGTGAATTCTATGGAGTGTTGGGAAGGAGGAAGAATACTTTTTGCCTGCTTGATAATTTAATTAATTTTGTGAGAGGAAAATTTGTTCCCTTTTTATACTTTCTGCAGAACTTATCCTACAGACTTTGATCAGACTTCCTTCATCCTCCCCCATCTCCTTTTTATCCTATCTTTCCAAGCCAAGGGTCCTCTGTCTTTCAGTCCATCTTCATGTGGAAGTTCTTGGAACTATTTTCAGAAATAATCCTTTTTTTTTCCGCTTTTGAATATTACAGAGTATCAAAACCATGAGGTCAGAATGGTTTAAGCCAGCTCCTCTAGTCATTTCTGATGTTTCTAACTTCTCCTTTTCTAGTAGCTCCTAACAATTTTTTTCATCTGTAGATAAGTGCTCAGCAAGTATTTGAAAGTTCAAAGTCACAGTAGAGTCTACCATTGTGTAGGAATACTTGGGAATAATTTTCATCATTTGATTCAGATTTTCATTTCCATTTCATCTCCTAGACATGCAGTTTTGCAAATCCTGATGTTACCAAGCAAAGAGTGGCTTTGTATTTAAAATTCTATGTAAACTTAGATATAACCCTGAGTTATCTGTAGGCCGGCACCCTTTTCACTCCATTTGTTTGCACCCCTTTCCTAGATTGTTAGGAGTTTGTTTTAGAGCAGAAATTCTCTTTGACACAGACTTGCAGTCTCTTCTGTTACAAAAATCTGCAGTTTCTGGCTTTTGTTTTCTCTGTCTTTACTGGTTATGATTCCATGAGAAGACACTTTCAATTTATGTTAATGACTTAGGTTTGCTGTGAAATGTTTGTAATGGAACTTGAGTAATTTTTTTTGGAAGTTTCAGATACATGATAGTAACAAAATTGCCTGATCCACTTGCTTTATGCCTTCAGAAAAGTCTTATGGTTTTGGAAATAAAATGTCCTGTATGAAAGCATTTACTGTTTTCTATACAGTCTCTCTTGTCCAAAAGGTTTCCCCCTACAATTTCTTCCTGTTTGTTCAGTGACACTAGAACATTGGCTTGTTCGCTCTATTGGGTAGTTTCTGAAGTCACTTACGTGGTAGGCAATTTTTTTCGTTACAGTGTTTGTTCTTCAGCCCTTATCTAAGTGGCTGACTTTTTTTCCTTGTGTACTGTGGTTTTTTTAGGTGCACTGGGAATAGGAATACTCAGTGTTGCCAAAGGAAAGTTTTATGTATGCATTTATTTTCTTGGTCACATTTTGGCCTGGAAAAACAATCAAAATGTACTAGTTTGTATAACGTTACGAATGAAGGAATGGAACTGCATTTATAAGATCCAGCAATCTTGATAAAAGTTTTGATAAATATATTCAAGATTTTTTATCTTGTATTAGCGAGTGAACCTTGGCCAAGCCATTGTAGTGTGACAGTTACTTAAGTTTCAGAACTGCAATCAGCATAAATACAGAAAATAGTAAATTTCTTTAAGGTACTGATGTCATGCATGTGCTAACTTGTGCTCATTTAAGTATGTATAAAAATAATTTGGCCAAAATCTGTGGCTTTCTTCAGATACACATTCAACCCTGGCATCTCTTAGTCATCTCCAGTGTACAATCCAAGTAGCTTTGTGTGATTTGTACATAAAAATTATTTCCCGAGAGAGTAAGACTTTTTAAAGAGTAAATTTTTGTAAACAATTTGTAAGAAACTAGAGTGTAGTGAAAACAAAGAAATTGAAGTCAGGTTTATAGCCATTTCTGTACAGTGAAGAGGAAATTAAATATCTTGTTCTAGGTCATTTTGGATCTTCATTATATTACTTGAAACAAAATTCTAGAAGTACGATTTTATACAGATCAGTCAAATTATTTAATGCTGCATTAAGTACTAGAGATAAGGGTTGTCTGTTCAGTGTGCAGTACCATCCCTTGTTCTGTGGTTTCAAGAAATATAATGGAATATAGGAAGTCTTTTTCTTATGTAGCCTGCAAAAGAGTTAAAAGATTCTTAAGTGAAAGAGATGGCTTTTTTTGATAGCAAGGTGGATTTGTCCCAGTTTGGACTCAGTTCATGATATAGGCATCTAAAAGGTCCGTATTGCTAGTCCAGAAGCTTAGTATTTGGTGTGTGTTTTGTTGACAATAGTCTTGGAACATCTTGGCCATGAATGCACAATCAACTTAAACATGATTCTTGTTGGACTTCAATTCTGTAGGGTTGTTTCATTTTGGCATCCAGGAGAGGCAGGTGTAGTTGTATGGACTGGTGTTCAGCTGGTGGATGTCCTCTAGATGACTTGGGATCGTGTGGTTATATCTTTATTTGGCAGTCATTTCTCAACTCTTGTGAAGTTCTGCTTTCAAATTGCTGTGAGTGTTTACAGTCTAACATACAAACTACTGTGTATTGAAGATTGCTACGATGGCTCTGGTCTAAGTAATCAGTGTTTTTTATTCATCTGCTGCTGAGGAAAGCCCAGGGACTTCTAATACCTGAAAGATCCAGGGGATAGTAGATTTTGTAATGTCCTTGACTTGTTTATAAATACATTAGTGATTAGGATTCGGGCATCAAAATGACAGCATTGTAGAGTACCTATTGTGAAAGTCACAGTATGAATGGTCACCAGTGCTCTTTGAGATGCTGCTATCCAGAGAAGCGTTGAAAACAGAGTGGCTGCTTCAGGCCTGACTTTTTGCCCCAAAGTGTATTTTCTCCGTCACCTTGTTGGACATTGATTGTTAATAAAGAGCAAATGCTACA